ACATTTAATGTATAAATTAAAAGCATTCAGTTGAAACAGAGAATTGAAATTACACTGAAAGTATCTGCACATCAAGAAAATCAAACTATGAAAGATAAAGTGATGAAACACATCTTAAGTCAGTGAAATAAGTTGATAAAACAGTGATTGACTAAATTTTAATGTAAATAGAACAAAGCATGCAGTAGGAAAGCTTGTAAAAGAACATGGCAATAAAAGATCTTGGAATAAATACTTAAATATGCAGAAATATACAGTTATTTACAAAGTGGCTATAGAGAGATGAAATAAGGTCCTTTGTTTGTTGTAAATCCCTGACAGTGATCTTTTGACCTTTATAACCATTTTAACAATTTTCTTGAGGTGGGGTACATTTTGTTTTAGGTGGAAATTTCTGTTAATTATCAATTAAGTGCCCTCTGACATTCTTCTACATTGACAATCTCCTTCTCATTAGTGCAGAGCTCAGGCCTCTATCATATGAGTGGCCTGTCACTGGGAATGCTGATGCAGTCTTTTCATGCTGACACAACTGAGGCCATATGGCCAGCAGGATCTTGGGAAGCTCTGATGCAGGGATGTTGGCTTATAGAGGGCTATATCACTTAGGTTTCATTGTTTTTTATTCCTCTTTAAATCTTTTATTGTATTAGTAAATTTTTTTTTTTAATTTGAGGATGATATAACCCCACTGTTGATGGCAAATTACATGACCCCTGCTTGATGCAGGTGTGTAACAACCTTCCACTAGGTAATAGACTGAAGCCTGGCATTTTTTTTGTCTTGGAAGAGAACTTGTTGACACTCAGGGTGGTTGAAACCAATGTTATTGTGGTCAAAAGTGGGGCTATGATTGTAATAAGAGCAATTTGACCATCTTCTATGGTTGCAGTTGCAAATGGTGTTATAAGTGCCTCACTTCTGATGTTTTTGGTCTGGATTGCCCATGGTTTTGGCTAGCCTCATATGATGCCTTACCTGAGCTTTGGAGGTCTTCATCTGTGGTATTCTCAGGTAAACTGAATTCCTTAAAAGCATCACATAGGGCCACTTAATAACAACAGGATTGAACAGGAAATTTTTAGAGTGATATGAATTTGAAAACTCATTTGAGTTTTAAGCTGTTTGAAAAGTGAAGAGATTGAATGCATTTGAAGAAAAGAGAAAAAAATCTTTATTACAGACACAACAAAAGACAATGTGTAAACTTGTGTAGGTGTGTGAACAATCGCGTGTACTGGACCTGTGAATTGACCAACAGCTTTCTTCCCTTGAGATAAATCTCCAGTGAATTATTTATGTTGATAACCAAATACAACTCTGAAACCTCGCATCCTTTCTCATACAATTTACAAAAACAACACCATGTATCTGGACAGTTCTCGCAATGCATTCATCAACTGTAACATACAGACATCATCCACTTGGCCAGGAGAGGATGTTACAGTTATTGACCCTTTCAACACAGATTTGCGACCTTACTGCAGTATCCCCTTGGACAGAATAGATATTATCTGCTCTAAAAAACAAAGACACTTAGGCAACTAGAATGAAAAAACTTCAGTGGTTTTCTGGGACATATGTTTATGCCACAACTGTATAAAAACAAACTAAACAAAAACTACTATATTACTAAAGGTATAGTGGAAAACATATGATATGCCCACACACATAACACTTCCATTGGCCCCGGGAATGAATTTCATTGAGTTATTGATATGCTCTTAAATTTTTCTAATATTCTTGCAAGAAGTTCTCCACCATAAAAAGAATGTACAGGTCAGACTCAATTGGGTTCTCTAGAGGTTGAAAGTAGATAGCCAATGGCAAGAATTATAGATTTTTACAGCAAAATCAAGTTTGAAGACTCCAAGTCAGCTCAGCTTCTAATAGGTCAGAATTCAGCTAATAAAATAAGGTTAAATTGTCACTGCCTGTCAATCTGCAGTCTGAACTTTTTAAGATAAAGGTGGTAATATGGATGTAAGTGCCAGCCAAATCTTGCACAAGGAATAATGAATGTACTTACATCTGCTCTGTACGAATGTGCTTGTTCCAAGCACCATTGAATATCCAGTGACTATCCAAAAGGACATGCATTCTATCAAGATTTATACAATCCATGTCAATTTTTTACATCTCCATTACTGTACTTTGAGGTAGACTAGTATGAAGTTATCAGACTGAAATGTGTGAAATCAAACTGTGATGCAACACAGTGTTACATTTGCTAACAATCAAGATTACTCAAAAAATTTCAATAGACAAATATCAACAAACATACACCACAGAAAACTGATTCTTTGGAAGTAAGTTTGGAAAGTCATTTTGATAATCAATATCCTTGGATCTAATGTGACAACCTCAGTAGCTCTGACTTAATTTTTACAGTGAGTGTTACACAGTCTGCTCCACAGGAATTCCATTACAACTCACTACACAGACAGAGCAATTACTACAAAATACCACATTGACATCTCATTACTAAATATTGTTTGATAGCTTGTAAGGTAAAAATTGTCGGTCCCTTTTAACCATTGATTTTTCAAACAACCAAATGTCCTAACTTCACTATAATCAAGCAATTATCAAAAGATATCCTAGAGATGTCATACCTTGAGCAACCAGTCAGCAGCTTGAAATGAAATAAGTGTCATTTTTCAGTCAAATGATTGTCATGAATGCAGGTTAGGAGGTTGATATAGCTATTTTGACTGATCATCAGAGTGGTAAAATCACTCCTTTACTGGCACCTCCTTATTCAACTTGTCATGAACTGCAAAAAATCTTCATCAGTTTATTCCAGATTGTAAGATTCAGCCTTTTCATTTGCCTCTGATTCCTGACAACAGATTCTTAAAAGGCTCATCAGTGACATAGGGCTTCAGCTTATTGATTTGTTCGGTGAGCTTGTACACATCACACTACTGCTACATCTCATAATTCACTTTGAGATGCATAAACATGAAATAACAATCAAACCATACAAAATTAGGTTTCACATGTGCATACCCCCAGCCACACCTAGTCACTGTGCTCAAACCTTCCATTATGATTTTGTTATAGCATGCCTTTTGATGTATGTTTACTTTATCCAACTGCTGATATGCAAATTTACTTACAATAATTATTGCAGAATGCAGTAAGTTCACATATTCTTGTGGACACTAGTATATTTGCACTGGAAAGATGTATATACATCAAATCCAATAGTAACTGTATTTCTGGAAAAAACACCAGGAGACAGAGAAAAAAACAGTTCACTGTTGCTCAATTTCATAGTATGCTATCG